CGGAGCTCCGGCGGGCTGCGGGGAGCGGGCTGCGGCGCGCGCGAGGGCGGAGAGCGGGCCCAAGCGGCCGGATAACGGGACCGGCCGGCGGGGTGGGGAGATCGGGCGAGGCCGGCGGGTAACGGGCTCCAGAGGGGCCGAGCGGGGAGGCCTGGCGTGGGATCGCCGCTATCTAGAGCTCCGTGGCTGGGACCCGGGCGGGCGAGGCGCGTGGGGCCGCCTCCTGCGGGTGGGGCTGGGCTGGCGGCTCCGGGTCCAGCCCGGGGCTCTGGGTGGGGCTGAAGGGAGGCGGGCGTGACCGGGCCGGCACCTGCGAGCGCGCGTGGGTCGGAACTCAGAACTCAGAGGAATGATCCCAAGGTTTCGGACATGCTCTGCTCCTCTCCCTTCTGCCAACAGCACTTCTGTGATTACTGATTTTCCTTGTCCGATAAGCTCAGAATCCAGCCGCGAGTGAAACCCTTCCTTGCACAGATCCCCAGGGTCTGACGAGTCAGCCAAAGATCGCGAACCATGAGCGGAGTGCCTTTGTGCCCACGCACACCTTTGGGTGTGTGCATCGGCGTGCCCCAAGTGGCCGCCGTGTCCCAGGAAGGGACTGTGTAGTGTGTGTGTGTGTGTGTGTGTGTGTGTGTGTGTGTGTAAGTTGGCGCAGACTCCACCGGAACGGCCGGTCCCTCCTCCTCCCTCCCTGATTGCATCATTAGTGCTAATTGAGGAGCTTTCACACGCCAGTGCTTTAACTGTTTGGCGTGAGCTCCCCCCTTCTGGGAGATAAGCCGCTGCCCCTCCCCCTCTCCGCGCTGCCCTTCCCCACCGCCCCGACCCTGTCCACTTACCGCTCTGGACACTCAGCTTCCTCCCACTGTACAGGTTAATCGTTCTCTTCTGCAGTGTCAGAGAACTGCCCAGGAGGGGTGTCCGGAGAGGGGATTTTCCCAAGAGATCTGGCATTCCTACTAAACACAGGACCTCTGTGGTTAGAAAGGAGATGGAATTTTCTGCCCAATTCTTTTGGACATGGAAGGGGGAGGCAAGGGCTAAGTCCTTGATCTCCAGCCTGTGATCCTACGAAGGTTGGTCTTCCAGCCCCACTTCCTGGTCATCTAAGACACAGTGAGCCAGTGGTGGTCCAGGCTACCTTAGCAGTCACAGGAAAGGCCCGGGCAGGGTGAGAGCTCTGGGCTTGGTGGAGTCCAGAATCTTGTCTGTTCCTGTTTAGCTTTGTCCTGGCCCATGGCTGAACAGCGTGTGTGTGTGTGTGTGTGTGTGTGTGTGTGTGTGTGTGTGTGTGGTGTGTGTTGGGGTGGCTCTGAGCAGATGCCCTCCCCAGCCCTCACACCAGATGTCTCTGGTCTAATTAACTGTGCTGGGAAAACCAACCTTGGTTTGTAAACAGAGCTACTGGCTAAAGTCAACAGGGAACAGCAGCAAACAGCAAACATTCCCCTCACACTCAGCCCTGGTTCAATTCGCCCCTCTTAGTCCCCCCCCCCAGGGGAGAGGGGAAGTGGGATGATCAGAGACCCCTGCCCCCAGCTGAGTCAGCGGAAGCCTGTCTGCCTCTGTGACCCCAGTATGGCCACCATTTCCTTGCCTGTTCCAGGGTCTCCTCTCCTAGGAAGGAACAGGGATTCTGGGAAGAGCAGTTGCACCCCAAGATAGGCTGTGTCCTCCTTCCACGATTTCTCTATAAATGCTGACACACCTACTCAGCCATACCTCTCCATGGGCCAGGAAGCCACTGTGGAGGGGCTCTTCCTTGAAGGATTTTCTTTGGGGCCTGTCCTGCTTCTCTTTCTTGATGAAGTCTCAGTGGGCAGGGTTTGGCATTGCTGGGTCTCAGCTCAGAGCTGGTGAATAGAATGTGAACATTGTCAGGTTCATTACACATCGTGTAGGTATTATAATAACACGTTCTGAAATTAGATAATTATTCCTGTGATATCTCTGCCAAACTTCAATGTTTCTGTTACGGTTTGAAAGTTCAACGCACATATGGGCCGGAGAAACAGACATGGAAGTGTACATAGGGCACACAGAAGCCTATAGAGCAGGAGCTTCATGCATGAGAACAAAGACACTCCAGTTGCTGTCTCCCTGGCCCACTTTCAGACATAGTGGAAGGTAAGATATGAGATGAAAATAGGTTTTTGGCATCTGAAAAGAAGAGATTTAACTTTTTGAACAGATTATAGAGTTTCTGAATTGGCAGTTCTTAACCAAATCTTGCTTGTTTGGCTTTTTTTTGGTGCCACCCAAGAAGTGGTACTTTCTTTTTTTTTGTTACTGGAGATTGAACCTGGGACCTTGCGCTTGCCAGGCAGGCACTTAAGCACTGAGCTATATCCCCAGCTCTGTGGAATCATTTTGAAGAACTGAAAGGCATGAAATTCTATGCTTTGCTATTGCAGATGCCCCATGTCTATCTGTCTACCCAAAGGCCAGGGTGCATGACCTAGGCCTCAGAGGCCAGAATCTGCTCTAGGTCTGTGGTGCTGTCTTCACACTAGCCGCTTTAGTCCACACGTTCTTCCTTCCCCAAGGCTCCGGGCAGCCCTGAGACCTGTGTCCTCTGCTTGGATGATGAGGCTCAGTGCTTTTGGTCCAGGATGTTCTTACTCTCCCTCTCCTTCCACCATCACCCACTGCCCCCAAAACACTGACTTGGATACCAGTGCTTTGGAAGGAGGCAGACAGCCCAAACTCCAAAATCTGCATTTCCTTGAAAATCTCACACAGGCACCTTCTTGCCACGTGGGGTCAAGTCGTTCCAGCACTTGGATTATAATAAAATACAGTATCCACCTCTGGCAACATTCTGTATTGAAACCCTTTCCTCTCAGCCTGGGCTTCTTTTGGAGTATTATTCTCCTGTCAAAAATCTGGAGGATAAACTGAAGTGGGCCCCAGGCCTCTGGGCTGACCCCAGCCCTGTACCCACCCCCCATTATTACCTTGTGGAAAGTCAAAGTCTGTGACCTGTTGCCTGTGCTACTCCTGCTGCTGCCCTTTAGCCCTCTGTTTTCATCAGTACTGTCTCTTCTGGTTTCTCCTTCTTAAACACCCTCTTCCAGTCTCTCCACTCTATCTTCAAGCTCTCCCAGGAAGTAGTGAGAGACAGAGATTGTGTAACTGGGGTACACAGGGCTGGGGGCTGGGAGGTGTATTCTTGGCATTCCATGTCCTTGTTTCCTTTAAGAGGTAACATGCAGAACACATTTCTCTGACCTTAGAAAACTTATGTAAAGAGCTTGGTACTCGGAAGCAGAGATCCTGTTTCAGCTGCATTTCCTTGGGCAAGTCCATGAAGCTCTTTCCGTTAATGTGCTCATTTGGAAAGTGGGCGGCAGCTGGCTATAGTGTCACATGCCTGTCATCTCAGTTCTTTGAGAAGCTGAGGCAGGAGGGTGGCAAGTGGGAGCCCAGCCTGGGTACACTCAGGAAATTAGAGAGGCTCTGTCTCAAAACAAAATTAAAAAAAGAACTGACACATGGCTGACACTGACAAAGAATCTACAATCTGAGGTACAGGATCTCAGGATAAATCCTGAGGGGATTTCACTGACCTTATCAGACCCAAAAGCTACAACTCTTGTTGCATAGGTCCTGCTTTACCTTGGTCTTAACCATCCAGCAGAAAAGTATAAAAACGAAATATAAGAAGTAAAGCCATGCTGTTATGTTGAGCTGTGGGGGACTCAGGTCAACAGTTTCTGACATTGCCAGTCAAGCGGAAGACCCAATACTATTATGGGCTACTGGACTCTTTTAGAATATTTTGCTGAGTTTACACATCTATAATATTCAAATAACGGAACTTAACAAAAAAAAGGGTATACAGATGAATGTCCATTTTGTATCTGAGTATTCAAAGTGGTTAAGATAGATATATAGTTACATTCTCTTAATGAATAGAATGATTTGTTCTAATGGTGTTTGTAAATAGGATCTCAAGTCCGCATCTTGTACAGCAATTAACCACTAAGAAGAATGTATGCAGTGTGTTAATTATTGAAACTGTCCTGGCGATTTGATTTGAAACTGTCTCATTGCTATTTGTTTATCAATAAAATTATGAAAAAAAAAAAAAAAAGAACTGAGGCTACAGTACAGGGCTCAGTGTGAAGACATGGTAGGCTGGGGTGGATAATAACAGCGCCACCATCCCCACCACATAAAGTTGAGTGGGTGAGATGGAAGAAAAAAGCCTGACGTAGGATAAGCCCTCAGTACAGTATGTGTAATCCGTTAGTAGTGTTAATAACATTAAACAAATAAACATCTGTGACAACATGTTAGACAACTTGGTT